ATGTATATTTTTCTAACCACCCGTTCATTTTAAATAATCTTTGCAATGCTCAGTCATTTTTATGTGAGCGTATGTACTTGGGAATTTAAATGAATTATTAAATTATTGTACATTTGCAATTGGAATTCGGCCAAGCAGTGACTTTGCTTTGCTTATTAGAATAACGGCACGGTTCGTGGTCAATTGGCTTATAAATGACATAGCACCAGTATACATAGGCGAAGTATCGATTCAGTTTGGTCTGCATTAGCCGTAAGCCAAGCCGAGCGCTTACGTCGAATTCCATGGATCCTATCGTTTTCATTTACTAGTCGTTTAGCGATTACGCATCATAATTACACCACGTGATATCATCCAAACGTCATATCTAGCCTAAGTACAATCTTTGAATTACAGGCAATGCGATTATGAACAATTAAAGGTGATATTAAAGGCGATATTAAAGGCGATATTAAAGGCGATGCATAACTAAATACGTGGCTAAAATAGGATAGCGATAGAAATGTAGAGCAGTAGTAAATTATATACACAGACAAATAAAACGAAGTGCTGAATACAGTATATGGAATGTAACAAATGAAGTGTAGCAAGAAACAATCAAGAAAAAATGGATATATCGTAAAAGAAAAATTTTGATGTACTTGAAATATAAAATGTTATATTGTAAATTTATGAATAATCAAATATGAATACTTTGAAAAAGGTAATAATATGTTATGTGAATAATAAATAAATGAATCCAAGCTAAGTATTGAAACCCAAATGACTGATAAAATCACGGAATATAAAAACGAATTTAAAAAAAATTTTGCGGTTTTTAGGGGTTGATACTATTGACAGAAAATGGGACATATTTTGGAATTGGTTATTATCCGAAAAAACGAATTTCAAAACCAAATTGCGTAATAATAACATCGTTCAAAAAAAGGGAAAGGTCGCAACCTTATCACCTAGGACGATAACCAACATAACCATCTGATCTAACATTATCAGGCTCCACATTTTCTAGCCTTTCTCTGGCTCTCCTTTCTCTGTCCCTTCTTCGTTCCTTCAATAAAGCGTCACGCCTAGATCTATGCAAGTCTTTTATAGCCCAGTAAATCATTCTATCAGGAGCATCAATTGGAGGACGTTGTTCACTAAGGTAATTTTTAAATTCACGGTAGTGACGACGAGCGTAGGGTTTAAATCTAGTCCAAGTGTATACACCTCTTGCTAGCATACCAGCCGGACGTTCACGGGTATAACTTAAAAGTTTATTCTACAAATATAAACATACATGTTAGAATAAACAAAGATAAGCATAGATGTAATATAAATAAAAGAATACAAAGTACCTTGACTTTAGAAAGTAATCTCAAGTCACCCAAGTTTCTAATATTATATCTGGTAAGATCTAAAGATGATAGATCTTAATAGTCTTCTTATGTCTTCTCTTTGAAAATCAATTTGATCAAAGTCATCTCTTCTAGAATTTCTACTCATTCTAATAGTTATTTAACAAAAATAATTAATAAAAATAATAAATTTAATAAATAATAAAAAAAAAATATTAAAACAATCAAAAAAAAAAAAAAAACTTACTTCACTTTTGGTGGTTTTTTTTCTTGTTCAGACTAGAGTTGGCACTCGAAACGAAACCTACCCGAAACTAGTTTCGGAAAGCTCTAATCCGAAACTCCGAAACCCGAAACTCCAAAACTATAATCCGAAACTCCGAAACTATAATATAAAATTTTTAAAAATTATAAGTTATAAAATAAATTTATTTTAAT